ACTCTTCTCAGGGAACCCGGGGCACTCCACATTCTGAGGTGCAAACCCGATGCCATAAAGAACGATGCCTGTGCAAGTAAAGAAAGTAGAAAGGTCGTTCGGGTTCCTTCAACATCAATTGTTTGGCTGAAAAATATCAACCAAAACATACAGTAACAGAATTGCCGAGTCTCAAAGAAAAACCCATAGATTTGGGGGTATAAACACATTGTACATCAGTTTTGATTCACCATAAAACCATCAAAAAAAACTATGGAGCCAGGAACAAATCCGGGCCCATCTCCATTGCCGGTGCACCAGGGACTTCGCCTCCGATGGCAAGGATGGTCCAAAGGCTGTGATCTCCTCGTCCACATTCAACTCCGAAGTCATCCACTTTGACTTGAATCTGCGGCCGGAAACCGGCCGGTTTTCCCAGCAGGATGTCTGAAAATGGATCCCAAAATGTGCTGGTTGATCATCAATTTTCCCATCAAATTTGCAATGTGTATAAACTTTTTGGAAGCCCCCAGTATAAACCCATCGGTTGGGGACACGTTTGGACCACACCTCCCCGATCGGTTTCCCCCCAAGCACCCTCCTCCAGCTTGGTTTCCTGACTGGTCTGGGATAGTCCACCACCCCCACTGCTTCCTCCTGGGGGTCGACACATCGGAGCACGTCCAGCAAGTTGTAAATGGCCATGGGCAGCAGCCTAGGTTGCTACAGAAGGCAATGCATGGGTGAATTTTGGGACTGGGGACACCTGTCTCATCTCCCATCTGGAACCAGCACTGCCGTCTGAAACTCGTGTCTCGTGGGTACTCAGCCCTCACGGAGATGCTGGAAGCCAAGAAACAAATGGCACCAAATGAGGCTCGACTCTGCGACACGAGACAAACACCTGTGGGGATTGGTGATCCATGATCTGTGGATCTGCCTGCCTACCTTCCTTGATGACCTATGCTTGTCCAACTCACATTACCCAATTCAAATTTTAATCATTTCATCCCTCTAATTGCCTGAGCTGAGAATAGCTGAGTCGATGTTTTGACATGTTTGACGCTCGTGTCCCCAGTCTACCGCTCCCGCCGGCCCCATCTCGGATGAAATCCACAACTGAATACCTACCAGGTAGTTTTCTGATTTGCAGGCATCATAACTGCCTCACTATGGAAGGAGACCGTGCAAGCAGCCTCGAAGCGAAGGAGCGTTGCTGCCCCTCTTCACAGGAGTTTTAAGCAACGCCATTGACAACCAAATATGACAGTATCACCATCTAACATGAACAGCATCACAGCAGTAATAAATCTCGTCACCATTGTACTAACTATCAGAATCCTCGCTGTCATTTTAGCAGTCATCTTTGATCTTTTAGTTTCACACAAAAGTGGACAGTCAGCACAAGCTCTGGCACACGCCGTTCTCTTTAGGTTTGATCTCAAATTGGTGTTGAAGTGTTTGGGAACCCTCCAGCTTCATCCAACTTCAGGGTCCGATGTTTCGGGCCCCGGTTTGTTTGTTTGTTTCCCTGCACTCAGCGTCTGAGGCCTGTGATTTAGGTGGCAGGCTGAGATATGCCATGCAAATACATGAAACGGAAACAGGAAACGAAGATCATACTAAGTAGTCCCATCATGTCCCATCGAGAATAGCCACAGGATGCCACAGGTGTGATGGAGACTTCTGAGGTCCCATAGGTCCCATGCCCGAGGCTTGCAGAATGATGCACAGACTTCCCTGGCACAACGGAATGCATCCATTTCTGTTCCTCAAAAGGTGTCAAGGGACCGGAACAAGCATCGGGAATGAGAAGAAACTGAAAAACACTCTGTTTGAATGGATATGCCCTAACACATATGATTCTTCCAGGTGTCACAACCACAAGTTGTTCCCTCTCAAACACTTGGCTCAACGGTACTGAAGGACTCAGAGAATTCCATTCGTTGCACTTTTGATGATTCACATCCAGCCGAGATCGCCTTTTTTCTTGAAGGAAATATGGGGGCCTGAACAACGGCAGCAGCTGCGGACTCAGGCCACATTGGAGATTTGTTATTAAGAGTGGCTGCAAAATGCTCCAGCACTGGCAACATGAGATGTTCATCCACTCGTCGTCGCTCTTTAAAAAAAATGTGGCTCAAACAATTTCCATTGGAAGGTACAACTACCTGGATTGCAAGCCATCCAGAGAAGGCACCTACGGTGCTGTTATCATCGTCCCTCTCCTCCTCGTGACCATCCTATCAGAGCCAGCAAAAGTTGGGAGATGTTGATCCATTGATCCATGACATGGATCCAGTGTTACTAATGGACCCCTGCAGCAGCTTTCTATGGTGAAAGTTTGATTTTCGCTCCAGTTACGTCGCAGCCATGCCATGAGGCTCAGGCGTTGGGCGGGCAAACAACCAGCAACAAGGGACCGAAAATGAACCTCGGCAGTGGCGTTTCATGCTGATCTTTGTGGCAAGATGGAGTCGGAGCCTCTCAGGTTATATATTGCAATCAAAAAGGTTGCAAGAACCATTCAAGTTACAGGTTCGCCATCGTTCACCCTTCAACTTACAAGGCTGCAAGCTTCAAGGGGTCTCGTGGACCAGAGATTAAAGAGGCACTGGGATTCCAAGTGTTTCATATTATTGTCCGTCCCACCAATTCTACCATCATAGTGCCTTCATGAGTCCTCACCTACCAACATGGACCCTGATCAGTCTTGGCAATCATGAGATTGAAAAGCCATCAACAATGGATCTGCCGCTAGTTGCAAGAAGAGACATTCATCTTGCCATCCTGATTAACTTAAGACTGTACAAGTCCCCTCTGACCTCTTGTCCGCATCCAAACCTGCTCCCTCCCTCAACAGATCTTGGCAGTCAGACTCCCAAAACACTGACAGCAAAGCCGCCGTGACCACAACGGCTGGAAGGATCGACAAGCCCAGAACGGCCTTCACCTGCAAATGTAAATTCTTCACAGCTTTTGAAAAAAAGGGATTCAAATCCATCAAGTGGGATGTCTTAGACAACAAAGCATTCTAGAAAATCTGTGCACCCATCATTTGTGCCGACATGGCCAATATTCATTTATAGGATCTTTAGAAATAAATACGCGTCAGCATCATCCCCGGCAAAAAAATCTTGAGCTTCCCTAGCCACGTCCCTTTGTCTATACTACGCTACAAGGCGCCTGGTACCTTTTCCAGGTGGAACTGAGGCACTCGATGGGAAAGCTCTTGAGCGGATCCCTGAGATTCTCGCTGGCGAATCACAAGGTTGGCAACAGCTTTTTGTGCAGTCCAAATAGTCAATGTATGTCAAACTATATGTCATGTATTTGGCAAGTTGTGCGTTTCGAGTTTCTGGCGACTAGGCTCAAGTTGCGAATGGCCGACCTTTTTTGCACAGAGATTGTATGGCCACCCGTGGCCGCCAAGGCTCAAAATTAGTGTGCTCATCCATACAAAGTATTCCTTGGCAAGGCGAGAAACGGCAGCACAAGTGCCCCCTATGGGGTGAAGTGAGGCAAGTTGCGGCAAGAAGTCTTGTCCAAAAAAGGGCAGATCGTAGAGTGCAAAATGATCAAAATGCCATTGTGATTGTGACATGATCAAAATCCATAGATGTCCAATGATCAAAATGCAAAAGTCCATAGATGTCTCTAGCAGCTAAACAGATTGCCATTGTGATTCGACCAGTGGCATCACCGTGTCTCAACAGCCCCTGAGAATCCTGAGATCTCACGCTTGGGTATTTTGGAGGTTGTTGGTAATGAACTCTTGGTTCGTTGCCTCGCCAGAAGCAACAGACCACAGCAAGTCGCAGAACGTCGCAGAACGAAACGGTCGAAGTTCACTGCCCAGACCTTGAGGGTGATGGCCATGAACTGGAGATGGTTCACTGCAGCCCTGGCCGGGCAAAGTCTCAACAGGCTGCAGAATCTCTGAGATCTTGGGAATTCGAGGCATCTCTCTACTTGGACTTCAAAAAAGTGAACGTAGCCTGGATATGTTCAAAGAACAGAAAACATGCAGAAGCTCCTGCCTCAGAATGAAGCATGAAGTGGACATCAAGGATACACCTCAGAGCAATAACACCACGCATTTTTGTGGCAAACCCATCTCAACTATCACCGGTGTTTGCAGATTGTTGCCCGCAAAAACAATACATGTACACAAGTATGCTAGAATTCCCTACAATCTCCCACAATCATATAAAAAATGCAAATGGGCACGGACCCATCTCTTGACGAGTGGCAACGACTCACCAGAGAAATGTCATTCGCCAAAATAAGACGAGACACATGAGCTCCAGTGGGCCAGCAGCAAGATGGCGTATAACAATAGGTACATGCCTAGGTGCTAGCACCAGGGCCATTGACCGGCTGGGTTGTCTGAAATTTCTAAAGCCTTCATCATGGTTTCTACATGGAAAAAAGACATGTTGACACTGGATGCTTGAAGTAGAGCTAATCCTCATATCTCCCCATAAGTATTTTCAAATTGATTAGCTTAAACTTTATAGTTTCAAACTTCTCAGAAGGTTCCATTGAATGCAACCAGGGTCCAAAATGCCCATCCTCAAAGTTCCGACCCTTTTCCAAGCGGCCAAGTTCACTGATCATCCTGGGCCATTCCCTGGCCCATTCTTGATCACCTGGCCATCCCCTGGTGATGAACGAAAAAGAGGAGATACTCCTCCCCGTGGCGAAAAATGTCATGCTTGTTCGAGTGTGTTTCAGGATGTTCACGTTTAAAATATGTTCTGTCAAAACAAAAGATGCAGAAAAAGTTTTATTGTGTGGTTGTTGTATGTTGTTGTGGTTCCGAAGAGTTGGTTTTTCGTCCACAGAAGATGTACATGCCTTAGATTCAACATAGAACCCCAAAATGGCCATGATCTATGTCATAATGTCCGAAAATCATTCTCCAAACTCCAAACCACATCACTGTTTTTCCGTATTAGATGTGGGGGTGATTTTCCATGGATAATAGGGATATCATGGGATATCAGGTACAACCCAGAAAAAAAACTTCAGTCTAGCAGCACGGCTGGCACGGATCCGCTTCCACCGCCGCGCGCTCGGGATCTGTCGCATAGCCTGGCTACCCCCAAAAGCAACAAGGCTACCTTGAAATAAGTTGTTTTAAGTAAGACTGTCATCATTTGAATCTTACTTGTGTAATAGTGTTATCATTGTCATTAACTATAGTTACTAATATATATATATATTTACTATTATTAATCTATTATTATTATTACTATATTATTATTACTGTTATATTATCTATTGAATTATCATGAAATGTAACGGGCTTTTGGCACCAAGTGTTGTAAAACTTTGTCCAGAGAGGCGCACCGCTGTTGCACTGGTCACACCGAACGCCCCTGCCTCGGATGAGGATCACTTCCGACATCAACCGATGTTAGCAATCGATGATCATGTTTGATATTTCATATATTTCATGATATTTCATGTTGCCATAGTTTACCATAGTTTACCATAGTCGTTTATAGTCGTTTACCATAGTTTACCATAGTTTACCATAGTTTACCATAGTTTACCATAGTTTACCATAGCTTACCATAGTTTACCATAGTTTACCATAGTTTACCATAGTTTACCATAGTCGTTTACCATAGTTTACCATAGTCGTTTACCATAGTCGTTTACCATAGTCGTTTATAGTCGTTTACCATAGTTTACCATAGTTTACCATAGTTTACCATAGTTTACCATAGTTTACCATAGTTTGCCATAGTTTACCATAGTTTGCCATAGTTTACCATAGTTTACCATAGTTTGCCATAGTTTACCATAGTCGTTTATAGTCGTTTACCATAGTTTACCATAGTTTACCATAGTTTACCATAGTTTACCATAGTAGTTTACCATAGTTTACCATAG